GTTGCAAAGAGTCGGACATGACTTAAGCAACTTAGCAGAGTAAATGGAAGTTTCTCAAAAAATTAAAAATGAAACTACCATGAGAGCCAGCAATGCCACTGCTGGGTACTTAGCTGAAGAGAATGAAGAGGCAAATTTGAAAAGATACATGCACATCTATGTTCATTTGCAGCATTATTTACAACAGGCAAGATATGGGCTCAATCTAACTACCAATGGATAGACTAATGGTAAAGAAGATGGAATATACGCACACAGTTACTCAGCCATAAAAATAGTGAAATGTTGCCATTTGCAACAACATGGATGGATCTAAAAAGAACTATGCTTTAACTTGGGCCATGTGAAAACTGAAATGCAAAACAAGGAACAAACATAAAACAAAAAAGGGTTATAGAGACCAAGAACAAATATTGGTTGCCAGAAGGGAGAGGGGCGAAGCAGATGAGGGAAAGAGGTGAAAGAAATCAAGAGGTACAAACTTCCATTTACAAAATAAGTGAGTCACAGGGATGAAATGTAGAGTGGAGAATATAGTCAGTAATAATGTTTGGGTGATAAACAAAATAAGGGGTTTCATTTATTATTTCCATCTCTCCTTATTATACTTGGAACCAATATTTTAAAGTGACCACCACAAAAAGTCATCTCTTATAAATACTATTGTTTTCCAATTTTGCCTTAGCCTAAAATATTTATAATTTTTGATCAGCAGTCTTACATAATAATATAGATCAAGATAATATATTATGCATAAGAATATATGATTATATTACATATCAATATGATATGTTAAGCAGATGTATTTACAGTGTAAACCAGAGACTATATTATTGTAGCTTGCAAAGCCTAAAATTGGATAAATGCATGATTTCCATTAAAATTTTTAAAAACTAAGAATCAATCACCTCACAACTAAAACAGGTGTTGGCCTGAAAACTCACATTGAACTAACTATTCACTACAACTGGTCCCTAAACAGACGAAAGAAATGCCATTCCAACCAAACTATTCCCTCATTTGTGATAAGATAGAAGTTAAACATTTTTTTTTTCCCTTCCTACGCTATCCTTTGTGAATGGGCAACTACCTTTACTTGTCACAATGAATATTTACAGCAATATTGAGTTGAGTATCATTTTTGAGTTGAGGTAATAAAATATAAAAAAAGCATTTTACAGTTCTTAAAAAAATGAGCCACTATTCATTTTAAAAAATCTATCACTATTACCATTATCCACAAACATAGAGAGGAGAGATAGAGATTCATTCAATCTACTCCTTTCTCAAGTTCATTTGCTTTAAATAAATTTGCATGGTGTCCACACATATTTCTCACAAAACTGTTCTCTTATTTTAGCAATTTCCAAAAGCCATCAGCACCAACAACTTTCTAGTTTTCAAACATGCTCACAGGAGTTTTTCATTTGATATGTACATAGATATGTGACTTTCAGCCTTTAGTTGTTGGGACTCATTTACAAGGAACGTGCTATTAACATTTATCTATAACATTCATAAGATAAATAGTCGAACACATGTAGGAAGACTATATGCTTCTCTCTCACCTGCTAAGACAAGGTACTGCAAAATAAAACTCTATTCCAGGATGTGCATCCAAGTGCAGCAATTTTCTTTTTTTTCTTTTTCATTTATTTATATTAGCTGGAGGCTAATTACTTTACAATATTGTATGGTTTTTACCATACATTGATATGAATCAGCCATGGATTTACATGTGTTCCCCATCCTGAACCCCCTCCCACCTCCCTCCCCATCCCTTCTTCTGGGCCATCCCAGTGCACCAGCCCTGAGCACTTGTCTCATGCATCCAACCTGGACTGGTGATCTGTTTCACAATTGATAATATACATGTTTCGACGCTATTCTCTCAGGTCACCCCACCCTCGCCTTCTCCCACAGAGTCCAAAAGTCTGTTCTATACATCTGTGTCTCTTTATGTGTCTTGCATATAGGGTTATTGTTACCATCTTTCTAAATTCCATATATATGCATTAGTATACTGTATTGGTGTTTTTCTTTCTGGCTTACTTCACTCTCTATAATGGGCTCCAGTTTCATCCACTTCATTAGAACTGATTCAAATGTATTCTTTTTAATGGCTGAGTAATATTCCATTGTGTATATGTACCACAGCTTTCTTATCCATTCGTCTGCTGGTGGGCATCTAGGTTGCTTCCATGTCCTGGCTATTATAAACAGTGTCAAGTGCAGCAATTTTCTTTCAGCATCATATTTTAGACTGAGCTATCATTCTTGATTGGTTCAAATCATCTGCTTGAAGAAACTGTCTTGTTTTAAACATCCACAGCTTTTCCTCTTATATAAGACTATAATTTAAATAAAAGTACACTGTTTAAGGGGCTTCCCTAGTGGCTCAGTTGTTAAAGAATCTGCTTGTTAAATTCAGGAAACCTGGGTTCAATGCCTGGGTTGGGAAGTTCCCCTGGAGAAGGAAATGGCAGTCCACTCCAGTACTCTTGCCTGGAGAATTCCATGGACAGAGGAGCAGGACAGGCTGCCGTTCATGGTATCGCAGAGTCGGACATGACTGTGCTAACTTTCACTTTCATGCTGTTTAAGGGCATTTCAGTTCTGATTATTTAACCTCTAAAATCAGAGAGCTGATATCTTATTATTAGCCAGTCTCCTCTGGCTCACTGTTTCCAAGTGCAACTGTGTTTTAAGAATAGCATTCTGGAGCTTGCTGGCTTATCCTTCAGCACACTGCTTACAGACAGCATAATTTCCAGACCTTATTATCTATCTTCTTTCATCTTTAGCCTTGGGGTATCTTCATGTGTAGCAGTAGCAATATTGTGGAATAAAGCTAGTTTTTTGTTAATCAAAAGGACAATTTTAGGTGCTAGTGGTTATACACATAGTATGAATTCTGTCTTAAAGAATATTATTAGGTGAATGGAGAGATGTGCTAGTTAATAAATGATGGTGAGACAATTGGTTAGTTATTTAAAAATTAAATTAATTTCTACCTAAGGAATTATATTTAATTATGTGTTATATAATGTAATAAATAGCGAACTGAAGCCAAAAGTAAGCATTTGTGAACTTTGGGGATAAATCTATGTATAATTCAATGCTAATTCTAACAGCATAAGGCTCTTTGATTAAATTAAGGGGTTGGGGAAATTGGAAGGGAAGGCAGGTAACACAGGGTGGGTTAGCAACCAGCTAAGACATGCGGGTAACTGAAGCATGCACCTCATAGAACTATGAGCATTCAACTCATAGAACACACATCTATGCGTTAAATGCCAGAGGACTGAGGGATTTGGTATGTACCAACTCCTTTGCTATAGTCCATGGGGTCGCAATTTAAGCCCTCCAGGGGGCATTGATTCCACAGTACTTTAGCATGACATGTGGATGGAACAGCAGATTCCAAGTTCAAGAGAATATTCTCTTACAGGTATTGGCAGTTGAAATTCCCCTGCTGGGCACAGGTGAGCAACTTTAAGTGGGGCCTCCCAAATTGAAAAACAGATCTGACTCCTGTCAAAGCCATTGCTTTCTGAGTCATGCCTTAGTAATGCAAATCTTCCCCAGGTGTTTTTTCCATGACTGAATGGAATTTTAGATTGAAATCACAAGGTCTTTCGGACTGGCACTTCCCTGCACCTTCTCCAGAGGAAGATAAGACTCTAAGAATCAGCTGTAAATTTGGCCTTAATGTTTCTTGTTAAAGCCAAAAGTTTATAATTGATCAGGTTTCTTGTTGTGTAGACACCTTACATTTATTGGATGTGCTAGGGAACTGTTGACCCCGCCTTGACCAAGCACAATAATAATGACTTGCATGAGTTGTCTCAGCAGGAGGTCCTGATAAGGAAAATGGTGCTGTTGCAGAAAACTAACCTGGAGAATCTACAAGGGAACAAAAAGAAGGAGGAGATGCCCATAATATGTCCTGCCAAACTCCCAGAAACCTTGTGCTGGAATCCGTATTTGCAAATACACAAGGAAGTGCGCTTGTTGTTGTTTAGTCACTTAATTGTGTCTGACGCTCTGTGACTGCAAAGAGTAGTCTGTAGCCTGAAAGCTGTAGCCTGCCAGCTTCTTCTGTCCAAAGAGTTCTCCAGACAAGCATTTTGGAATGGGTTGTCATTTCCTTCTCCAGGGGATCTACTCAACCGAGGGATCAAACCTGTGTCCCCTACAAGTCTCATGCATTGCAGGCAGACTCTTTACCACTGAGTCACCTGGAAAAGCCTGGAAGGATCCTGAGTCAGACCAAATATGGGTACAAGCCAAAGCCAGAGACTATCTGGAAAGCTAACTTCATCACCATTAAACCTGAGACTGTGACCCACTGAGCAGAGCAGTTCTCCTGTTCCCTTACCCCGCTGCTCTCTGCCCAGGCATCTCCTACCAATCAAGTCTTTTGCTTTGTCAGTACACGTGTCTCATTAGACAATCCATTTCTGAGTGTTACACAAGAGCCCACTCTCGGGCCCTGGAAAGAGTCCCCATTCTGGTAACATATGCCCCATTCATTTCATTAAGTTCTTTTTTGTGTATGTGCACGATCCAAATATGGAATGAAAATGAGTGTGCAGCAAATTCTGGGTACCAGTTAAATAGCAAAGACACATGCAGTGGGGAAGAAATAGCCTTTGGCAGAATTGAGCCAAGAGCGACCTTAGGCAAGTACTGCTCTAGGATTTTAATTTTTACTCATTCTCCTACCTTTTTAATGTAACAGACACCTAATTCCCTCTTGCTGCCCCCTTAACCCAATTTCTTGAGGCTTAGATATACTACCTGTTCTTTGGCAGACAGCTGCAAATAAAATTTCAAAGTCTAAGCATGTGTTTGCTCACTTAATTAATGTAAGCAACAGAGAACTAAATCTGAACTTTGGAAAAAGTCTGTTAATAAATGACTAATAACAGAATTGTCAGAATGTTGAAACAACACAGGGGGAAAAAACATCCCAGGGTTTGCAACAGCCCAGGAAAATGTTCTCTCGGCTTGTTTGCATCAATGATTATGAACAACATGCTAAATCTGTACTTCAGAAGTCTATATATGACTATTATAAATCTGGGGCAAATGATCAGGAAACCCTGGCTGATAATATTGCAGCATTTTCCAGGTAAGAATCTTTTTAAAATCATGTTTTAAAATTATACAAAGATATTCTATCAAAGCACAATCTTTCAGTTTTAATAATGATGGTATGGACTTACTTGTCTAGATATTGTTTAGTAGAGAGGGAAAATTCATGGGGCTGTGAGAAACACTGGGCTTTAAACTTGCATGAAAACATCCCAAGCCTGGGGATCTTGAAAAAAAGCTAACCCTAAATTTCCTCACTTGGAATTATGTGGATAATTCATTTAACTGTGTATAAAAATGGTGATGAGTCTAATGCCTCCATTCTCTTTTTCTCTGAGAGTCTAATTTATGGTGTAGGAAACTGTTAGTATTAAACAGGAGACAACTGTCTTATCTGGGCAAACAAGATCAGATGGTTGCCTCAAATGTTCCCATCATGCTGGTTTTCCATTATCATTCATTTTGATTACTGTTTTGTAAATTTTCACTTTGGATTCAAGTTTGTCTATATGGCATTAATCTTTCACTTTGTGGTTTCATCTCTCCTCCAAAGGGCTTCATCTCTCTTCCCAAATTAGTCTTCTGCTGACTTTCATATTTCAAAGCCCAAGATGGTGGATGTCACAGCTTATGCAGTTAGGAAATGGTTTATTTGCTGGAGCAGGGGAGGGGAGCCCTCAATACACTACAGTCTATGAGGTTCATGTACTTTTAATGAAGCCAGTAAATGTTGTGGGCACTCATGGATGGTGATAAACAAAAAAGGCAAGAAGTATCCAGGTGAAAGAATCTGGCTTATTCCTGATTTCTGCTTTAGCCTAGAGCAAAATCACTCAAGCTCATTTTTCTATGTGTTTATTAGGGGAAACGAAATCATTCTAACCATGGTGGTTCCCAGCAAACAGCACCAGATCACCTACAAATCAGCGTAGGAGCCTGAGAGTGTGGTGAAAGGCAGGGGAGGCTTCCCCAAATTCCTTCAAGCCTTGACTTTGTCTCAGATCTTTCCTGGGACACAAATGAAATTTAATAAATGCTAGGGAGCCACGGACACCTCATGTGAAGAGTTGACTCATTGGAAAAGACCCTGATGCTGGGAGGGATTGGGGGCAGGAGGAGAAGGGGATGATAGAAGTTGAGATGGCTGGATGGCATCACCGACTCGATGGACATGAGTTTGAGTAAATTCCGGGAGTTGGTGATGGACAGGGAGGCCTGGCGGGCTGTGATTCATGGGGTCGCAAAGAGTAGGACATGACTGAGCGACTGAACTGAACTGAACTGAGGGAGCCATGGCAAGGGAAAAGACGGCAAAGAGTGGAGTTGCTTAAACTTCTGATGATTTTATCCAACTGCTATGGGATATTTCAGGCCCTTCAATGTTTTCTGCTCCCAGAAGTTGCCCCTACTTGGGTTCATCTCAACTCTGTTCACAAGTGAGGTGGTTTGCCTATTAGTAATTTCCTGAAAGCAACACCTAAATCCAAATAGGTAATTTTAACCAAGGAAATCTCAGGGCCTTGGGAGGATAAAGGAGTTGGTGTCCATCAGCATTCCTCAGGGCACAATGCTCAAGGGACCAACTTGTCCATTTTTGCACAGCCTTCCTCACACTTTAACACCCTTCCCCACATGCTGGTTGGTTAATTACCTCACACATTGAGTATCTCAGTGGGTTTGATTGGATACTACATGTTGAGGATAGAGTGAGCCAGGTGAAGAAAGTTCTTGTCCAGTGGAGCTTACATTTCAAGGGATGCACATTGACCTTTGGCCTCCATAATGCTGGTGGTTGAACTGGTGCAAAATGGACCCAAAACAATTGGCCCAATGGACATCTTCAAGATGGAAAAAAGGGGTGTAGCGAACCAGACACCTCTTCAACCCTAGAAATTCTAGAAACCTGTGAGACATAGAAGACTGTGATGACTTCTGTGTGGCCTGGAAAAGCACCTCACAGCTTCTGTGAATCACACAGGTATTCCCAGTAGTGGGTATTCCCAGCCTACCCAGACTAAGTATTGAGTGAATAACTTAGGGACAGGACACAGACAATGAGAAGGAGTTTTAAATGCCATCTTTTCCATGAACCTTGATCATTCTCTTTTGTTCAGCTTTAAAGGAGGGAAAAATGTACTAATAGACTCTTTTTTTTCTTCTGGAGGATAGAGGATTATTATCAACCACCTAAGGAGTTTTTATTACAACACACACTGTCTGTTTAGCATCTCCAATCCTTTTTTGTTGTGTAACTTGCTGGATGAACTTTCAGTTCTTACCCTGTATCATAAAGCTGATCACGTGGAGGTAAAATAGATGTTCTGCCAGGTGGTGGCTTTGGCTTGATGGGATGAAGGCAATCAATCTGAAAGCTCTCATTCTAATTCAAATGAAGATGACAAATCAAGCAAACCTCAGATAACCCACTGTGACACATGACGATGGAGTATTTTAAAGACAGTTGTGAAATTTATAACCTCCCTATCCCAGGGTTATAGCAAATGGTGTGAATGCATAATGACACCTTTTCTCTCTGCACCCAGCTCTGACAACCACGTTTTGGGGTTCTGGGGACACAGACCAGTTAGGTGACTAAGCAGGTGCTTGGAGATATTTTTGGGTAAGACTTGAGGCTGTAATAACATTATGTCTGCTTCCCACATAAAAAAGGACAAATAAAGTCAAATAGAACTACTCAAAGAACAGAGTTTCCTATTGCAATTATGACAGGAACAATGAAAGATGTCAACTTGTTAGAGTTTGTGTGGCCTGACCTGATTGGAGTTAATTTTCAAAAGGATAGTTCTTAGATTCTCTTACACATTAATCAGGGCTATAAAGTGAGAAACACATTATCTTTCTCAACCATGGTCTGCACACATTTTGTGGCTTCTTGTGAAATTATCTGGTGGAATATGATTCTCCAATTTGGGTGTTTATAAGTCATGTGATATTAGTAAAGGAAGCTCATTGTTCCTAATGCGCTTAGTGACTGAAAATTGCATGGAGTTTTTCACATAAGAGATGGTAAAAGTGACATCATTCCCTCTCTTAAATATTTGAGAAGCAATATACATTCCCCACGGGCATTGTTAGTGTTCTCATAGGTTTAAATATCACAGAATCATTCAGCTACTTGGCACCACAGGTAAGCAAGCTGATTTTTCTCTTGCATTATGAAAAGCAGTTAATTGTCTCATTTTTTGAAAAGTCACATGGCAAGAGATCTCATATAAGCTCCATCACCTTTTCATCCTTCTCCCTCCTCATCATTTCTTCTCCCTCTTCTACTCTTCATCTCCCTCTCTCTCCCTTGGTAATATCTCAGTCTCCCTACTTTGGACCTCAAAGCTGTGGTTTTTAATCCAGACATGTGACAAACTACACATACATGCGTGCACGCATGTACACACACACACACACATTTCAGGACATTCACGGATTCTGAAACTTATTTACACATGGAGGCACTCCGAAAATGGCTTGACTGTTTAAATATAATGTTTACCAGGCTGTGTTTTCTTCTGAGTTAAATTCCTTCTTCCTTTACCAGGTGCCTCAGAAGTATCAATATTCCAGTTAAATGTTTTAAAGTTCTCTCAATATTGAGAAATGAATGGTAACAAATAAGATTTTAACATTTGTAGCATATTTTATATATACATATACACAATTTATGTATGTATATATATGTTATGCATTTTTAATGCTTAGAATAAGTAATTCATGTGGAGAAATTAAGATGCAATATGATCACCATTTTTATTGCTTAGTTGCTAAGTTGTGTTGGACTCTTTTGTGACACCATGGACTTTAGCCCACTAGGTGCCTCTGTCCATGGAATTTTCCAAGGAAGAACACTGGAGTGGGTTGCCATTTCCTCCTCTAGGGGATCTTTCTGGCCCAGGGATTGAATCCGAGTCTCCTGCATTGGCAGGCAAATTCTTTTCCACTGAGCCATTTGGGAAGACATGATCATCTTACAGTACTTGTAAATCATTAATTCACTGTGTTGAGTTGGTGGGATCCAATAACAGCACAGAACTTCAAAGCTGGGTGATGAGTGGGTTTCTTCCTTCATCAGTGTACTTCCTCTTGGGGACCTGATTTACGATAACATAAAATTGAGGCCTTTGTTGGATGTTAAAATGATTTCCACTTTTGCACCACTTCATTTAAGAAACCTTTGAAAAATGTTTATTATTCAGCTGGTTCAGTTGTTTTGTCAATCTTCATATTTTTTTCCAAAGTGGAAGTCCCATAAAAGCAGGGTCCAAGGTTGTAGTCAGCTAGTTTTATGTAAGATAGTGAAAAAATAACTTAAATTGGGGTTGAGATCAGGTGGGGCATGCAGAACTATTGGAACTACCTGACAAGTTTAGTTGTAATTGCTCTTTGGAACATTTCAAAATGTGAAGGACTTTTTAGAGAGCATACATTTTCCATGCCATTGATCTCATTTAATTTGGTCTAGGAATTGCATTTTGTGCCGTTGGTTGATGCCTCTGTAATGTCACCCTCAGGGCAGGAAATTATGTGTGTGGGAAGCAAGAACACAGTTATTAAAGTGACTTCGCCACCTCGTGGACAAGCATAAAATTGCTGCCCTGTAGAGGAAAGGGTTGAGCCTTGCCTGATTCAAGGGGAACTGGCTCTCTGAAAATGTTCCTTCTGATACACAAACACACACACAGCTGATGCCCTGCAGCTCTATGTGTGCTCCTCATAAAAGCTTCCATTGTTTTCTCAGCTCTAAGTAAATATTAATGCCTTCCAAGGCCAGCATGCCAACGGCTGCTATTAAATCTTTTTCTCTCATTCTAATAATACACTTAGAGATGACTGGTAGTAAAAATTCTCTTCAAGGCTTCTGCATCTCCCCATTCAGAATGGAGATCAAAGAATCATGCTGTGAGGGTTAGTTGAGAAGAAAATGCTTCCAGCAGTAGAGCATGTGGTGTGACAGAAAATCAAGACAATTATGTTGTTCAAAGGAACTGCAGAGAAATCACCATTAAACTTCTTTATTATGTTTTGCAGGGGTTGGATGTTTTTACTTTATTATGTGAGGAAGGATTATATTACAGACCCTTAGCTATTCCTCAAAGCAACATTAAGGCAGAATTTCTTCTTCCGCTGGAGGAAGTAGGCTTCAATTAAGTCTTGGGAGGTTCCATTTATTTTGGTGACTCTGTTACTAAATCACACTTCACGGTATTAATGAAAAATCTTGATCTATCTGGAAGCAGAATTAAATCTAAACCCTGAAAGGTGAGTGCTAGTTAGGTATATGTGCATGTGTACTCCAGGTTTATTGCCTTAGTGCTCATGAGAAATTGGGACTATATTTTCTTCAGTTTTAATCAATTACTAATGAGGAGAAAATAATCCTGAACAAATAGGAGATATAAATTTTTCAGAGAGAAAAAACTAGTTTTCCTGTAAATTTTACTAGTTTGTTTCTTGGTTTGTTAGTAACTTACAATGCTACACAAAAGAACTGCAGAAAAAGTAATTTAAGATAATGATCAGGGGTCAAAAATTCTTCAAGTCAAAAATTCCAGTCTCTGCCAAATAACATTTTTTTGGGAAAATGCTCAATTAAACAAAAAAAACCACCTTCCCTTATCATCATATTTCAATGGATATAGAATTCAGATCAAGGATTTTGAAGAAACCACATCATAATTTTACAAGTAATTGCCTGAAGTTATTGTCTGTAAGAAAAAAGAACAGTTGAAGTAGACGTAGGATATCTTCTTAAACTCTAATCTAACTCCTATGCCATTCTATACTGTCTTCAAATGTCTTGGACGAAGTGAAATTAAAGCTATGTTCCCACAGAAACCTTTCAGTGAATGCTTATGGTGTCATTATTTACTATCACCCCAAGTTGAAAGAGAATGGATGAACTGTGCTACATTTGTACAATGGAATACTCATCATCAGCGGAAAAGGACAGTTATTGATGCTTGCAGCAATATGGATGAGTCTCAAAAGTATTAGGCTAAGTTAAAGAAAAGTAAAAGTGAAAGTCACTCAGTCATGTCTGATTCTTTGACACCCCATGGACTATATACAGTCCATGGAATTCTCCAGGCCAGAATACTAGAATGGGTAGCCGTTCCCTTCTCCAGGGGATCTTCCCAACCTAGGAACTGAACCCAGGTCTCCCATATTGCAGGTGGATTCTTAACTAGCTGAGCCACAAACCAATCCTGACTCAAAATGCCATATACTAGAGTTGACCTTTGAATATGGATTTGTACTTAGCAGGTGCACATATACATGGATTTTTTTTTCCACTGAAAAGGTAGTACATGATCTGCAGTTGTTTGAATCTGTTGATGTGAAACCAGAGATCTGGAGGATCCAACTGTAAAGTTATACACAGATTTTCCACTGTGCAAAGGACTGACCCACCCCACTACCCCTGCCTCGTTCAAGGATCAATTATATACAATTTCAGGACTAACTATATATGATTCCATTTTTATGATATTCTTACAAAGTAAAACTATAGGAACAACAACAAAAAATGATCAGAGGATGTTAGGGGATTGGTGGAGGGAGAGTTCCACTGCAAAAGGAAATGGGGCAATTTTTCAGGATGGTTGAACTTTTCTAGATCTTGATTGTCTGGATATGCAAATGTGTTTCTCAAAGAGCAAAAGGCTGTAGACTCAAATGGGCGACGTCTATGGCTTGTTAATTGTACTTTACTAAGAACAATAACTTGAGAAGTTTATTATTAATCTTATTGATAACTTTCCATCTTAACAAGCATTAAAATTGCCCAATTTCCTTGAGCTTTGTGAAGTAATTTGCTTGCTGGGAAAAAATACAAGAATATCTTCTTTTTCTAACTCAAACGCTTTTGAAATTCTAAAACCTTATCTCCATACTCCCCCAAATTCCAGGTGGAAGCTATATCCAAGGATGCTCCGGAACGTTGCTGAAATAGACCTGTCGACTTCTGTTTTAGGGCAAAAAGTCAGCATGCCAATCTGCGTTGGGGCCACTGCCATGCAGTGCATGGCTCATGTGGATGGGGAGCTTGCAACGGTGCGAGGTAGGAAAAAGGTTCTTACTCAAAGGGACAGAAACAAACTAACATTTAGTGACTGTCTTCTCGGTATGCATCAGGCAAACACTTCCCTGGATGTTTTTATACTCACAATAGTTAAGCTCATTGACTGGCATAGAAATGTTTGTTCATGGATGGGTTATATTCCCCAAAATAGGGTGTTTTCAACTGCCTTAGGAGGGAATATTGAGAAATTCAAATGTGAAATGCAGAAATTCCTAATTAGGAGTAATTTATCAACTTCCCAGTCTGCTAGCAACTATGGATATTTGAAAGGGTATGTGCAGTGATTAATCTTCCCACATTCTGTTTCAGAAGCATATATAAAAGTTGGTAAAAAATTCTATCTGATTTTTTTTTTTTTAATGCTAAGGAAGGCAGGCGGGAGAAGGAAATGGAAACCCACTCCAATATTCTTGCCTGGAGAATCCCATGGGAAGAGGAGCCTGGCCGGCTACAGTCCATGGGGTTGCAAGGGTTGGGCATGGCTTAGTGACTAAACCAAGGAAGGCAGGAAATTCAGGACCAAAGAGCAGGAACTAACTACTATTTTCTAAGAATTAAGGATCTTGTGAATTCATTTTCCTTCTTGAAATGTCTTCCGCAAACTACTGCTTTGAATATCAGCCTGACACAGTGAGATTGTGCTGGGAAGATTTAGTCTTTAATTTTAGGGCCACACAGACAAATGACCCTTGGAGCCCCAACCATTTGCCTACAGTAATCCTGAAATATGGAGAGAAAGAAGGGAAAAAAAGGAGAAATGGTATTGGTCTACTTAAAGTTTGGATAAGAGAGAACTTCCCAAGCATGTTATAGACCACAAACAGTAAAACAAAAGCAAACAAGTCAACACACACACAAAAATGGAAATTTCCACACTCTCAAATTTCTATAAAAGATTAAAACAAATGGTTAACCAAAAAGAATTGAAAAAATAGGAGACTGCAAAAGGTTAATGTCCTTCCTATGTAAAGACCTTTATGTTTGAATAATAAAATAACATATAACCCCCAAGTGTAGGAAAAGATGTAAATGAAAAAATTCAAATAGGACATTCACAAATGGAGACATAAAAATGGCCAATAAACATATTAAATATATATAATTTTTTATCATACCCATAATTATCAAATAAATGTAAATTATAATATTTTGTTTTCTGAATATCAAATTATATTATTTTAAGATTAGACAGTGGAATGAGATTATATGCATGTTGAAAATGTGCATTTTTAAATACTGGTAGGAGGAGTATAAAGTGGAATAATCTTTCTAGAAAATAATTTGGCACTGTGTATCAAAGCTTTAAAGATACCAATTCCATGTGATGCTATAAATTTCCTCTAGGAATTCCAAGGAAATAATTATGTTTTTGAGGAATGACACTTTTTCAGGAATTTTTATGCCTGTTATTATTATTTTTTAAGTATTTGCCTATTTGGCTGTGTCAGGTCTTAGTTGAGGCATGAGGGATCTTTTGATGCAATGCAGATTTGCAATGCAATTGCAATGTGGGATCTAATTCCCTTACCAAGGATGAAAACCAGGCCCCTGCATTGGAAGTGTGGAATCTTGGCCACTGGACCACAAGGTAAGTCCCATTCCTGTCATTTTTAATAAGAAAAAAGTTAGGAAAATCACTCTAATGTCCCAGAATTAGAGATTGGTTGCAAAAAAAATAGGATGCATAAAAAATGGGGTAAACATTTAAAAATTATATGAAGGGAAGAGTTGACTGGCATAGAAATATGTTACAATATAAGAATTTTTAAAAAGCAGTTATAAACAATGCTAAGATCCTAGAATATATTTATTTTTGAGGACCAAGAATGTAGACCACATTTTACAAATTTTTATTTGTGGGTTATGGATATGCTGACTATAGAATCAGATGTGACTCTATACACCTTATTATTTTTGGTTCATATATATAGAATTTTCTTTGAATCAGAAGAGTGCAATAAAAGCTAAATTTAAAATAGAGAGAAAACTGGAGAAGGAACCATGGAGAGAATGGATGAGAGTGGAAGGAAGTGAAGAAGGCAATAAGCAAAACTTACTGAATTGATAAAACACTCTGAGGCTGCAAATTATTTTTACATAAAAATATTTGCTATTTGACAGGTGACACTGTTCCCGATAGGTGAAGAGCTGGTTCCATACAGAGCAGGTTTTCATAGTTAGTGATTAATAGGACTTATGCTCTGACTCACTTCTGATGATTCCAAGGTCACTACTCCTTCTTTTTGTTGCGAGTAAGCTGGGAAGAAAAATGAAAAGAAAGCTTACTTAGAAACTACTTTGACAGCCTAGGCATGACTGTTTTATCTAACACTATTTCCTGCCAGCACTAACTCTGAGGCATTATTAAAGGCCTATTGGAGTCTTACCCCTTTAGATTTATTTATCAAGCACTTATTACCGTGCTCCAGGCACTTTTCTAAACACATTACAAGTATTAAAGCATCACATCCTCTAAACACCCCAAAGAGGTAGGTACTATTATTAGGCCCATTTTATACATGAGAAACTGAAGCACACAGCAGATGCCGAGGGTCACACAATTGTGTGAATTTATAAATGATACAGATAGGATTCAGACCTAGGCAGTCTGGTTCCACAATTTGGGCTCTTAGGCACCTTGTGTTGCTTTTAATTTCCAGAAAATCCCATAACTGTCATGAGGGGAAGCCCATTTATCTGTAAATCACAATTCTCTGATAGTGAAGTGAAAGTGAAAGTCACTCAGTTGTGTCCAATTCTTTGTGACCCCATAGACTATATAGTCCATGGAGTTCTCCAGGCCAGAATACTGGAGTGGGTAGCTGTTGCCTTCTCCAGGGGATCTTCCCAATCCAGGGATTGAAACCCAGGTCTCCTACATTGCAGGTGGACTCTTCACCAGCTGAACCACAAGGGAAGCCCTAAAGGTAACAGGGAATTAATTTGCCATTTAAGGTGCAGGCAAAGAAGCCTATGCCTACCCCAGGAGAATGCAGGAGAATGAAACACTTGATAGACAGTAGGAAAAGGCAGAACAGGCAGAGCAAAGATGATGTAGTGACATGGAGAACACAGAGGAATTGGCAATGAAAGGTTATACGCACTGGCTTCAGGAAGCTGAGGTCCTGGACAGGTTCTTGTCAGGCTACTGACATGACAGTTTATATTCCAGATTTGTAGTAGAATCATCCCTCAAGGATTTCAACATTCTTAAGGTTTTCTTCTATGTTCCTGTCACTGTCTATGGATTGATGGTCTATGTAATATGGCTATTAATCTTCCAAACTGGTGGTGATCAGCTCTTAACAAAAAGGGCTCCTTGGTTGGCATGTGTTGGTTGTGGGATGGAGAGATTATTCAGAAGGAAAGAATGTGTGTCTGGAACAGATGCTGTTGGTGCCCATCATATATATTCCCTTGTTACTTCCCATTTCTATCAGAGCATGTAACTTTTTGCCTAATATTTTCTCTGGCAACAGGAGTTGATGGGGGTGGTGTTCGGGAGTTGGTGAGTGGAAGGGCATCCTTCAGGCTGGTGGAAAAATACTCCAGCTCTCTTTGATCAGGATCACTGAAGCATTTTCTCCCTACCACCCAGGGTTTCCCCAGTAAGACTGGGCCCCAGTTGCCTCCAGAAGTCACCTGCCCAATATCACACCCCTCCTTGGCTGCCTCCCTTTCTTCTTTCACTTTCCCATCCTTCAGCTCAGCTTGTGATCACTCCCAAATAAAAGTCTCAGGCTCATAGTACTGTCTCATTGTCAGCTTTGGGAAGAATGCAAACCAAGACAGTGGCTAACTGAATATTAATACAACCACAGACACTTTAAAAGTGGAGGGATGCTTGTATTTGGTAGAGATTGTTTCTTTCTCTCAAAACTGAGAAAATCAACATGGAATTGTGCAGCTAATATCTGATTTACTCTATTGTTTCCAAATATGGAAATACTCTCAAGCTAGCTTGATCCTTGGGGAGATTATGAAATCTATGGATGTTGTTATGAAGGACTTCTTTTTCTCACTCTCCTAATTATCCGGCCCTTAATGTAGCTTTCTTGCTTCCAGGGTCTTGGTCCCTAGCTAGCAGGAGAAACTGAAGCCAAGTTTGGAGAATAGGTGGAGAAGGAAATGGCAACCCACTCCAGTATCCTTGCCTGGAAAATCTCATGGGCAGAAAATCTCATGGACAGCCCTGGTGGGCTGCAGTCCATGGGGTCGCAAAGAGTCGGGCACGACTGTGTGACTAAAAACAGTTGGAGAATAGGTGCTAGTTAGCAGCCCTTTCTGAAGAAAGGGCTCCCCCTAGCTTGGTCAGTAAGAGTAAGTGAAGGATATTCAAATCCCCAGGGAATGGTCTGGCCTGAATAATTAGAATGAGGGGTTAGAAAGTTCTGAAAGTTGTCATGGTGCCAGGGTCTCACTGTCCTACTTGTTCTGCAGACTTCTTCATGGAGCCCTGCTTCAGGGCCCCTTTGGTCTTTCTCCTTACCACTGTGGGACTGTCCCCAGGACCAACTAAAGCCAAGAACAGAGCTCTCTGTTTTTACATGAGTCTGTGATTGTAGAGTGACCAACGGAGCTACACTTTCTTTCTTTTCAAAATGTCAATGAGTAGAGGGTTGGCAAATAAAATACAGAGAGCTAGTTGTAGTTGTATTTCAGATAAAAATTCATTTGTAACAGGGTATCCTATATTTATTTGCTATAGCTGGCAACCCTACTCAAATAAGAGATCTTACCTCTAGAGGTTCATGTGAGAATCACATGAGATAAATGTTGGGAAAAGCTTCCTGAAGTGGGGCTCAGCTTTTATTTGCCCCTGAGATTCCAAGTCCCTGAAATACTTCTCTTCCATACATTCCACACATCAGAAAAGTACACTCCATTTATATCTTAGTGGAAGTAAAGAATGCTCTTTTTACTTTGCTTAATTTCTTTTTTTTAAGTTTTATGCAGAAACCTCAAAAAATGGCTTTTAG